GGTGGAGATGGAGGACGCCGGCATGTACTGGTGCAAGGTGAAGGAATGGCAACTTTATGGTCACCCAGGCAAGTGGGTCAGCCAAGCATCGGATGAGTCGCAGAAAATAGTGCTCAGGGTGCAGCCTTCAGGTAACAGGGGTTGATCTTCTGTGGGCTGGTGTCCTGAGAATATTTGGCTCTTCGTTCGTGCTTTCTCTCCCAGCTGTCTTGTTCCTCCTTCAGGCTGAAGGCATTTCTCAGATTCCCTAAAGAAGATGACGTCACTGTCTCGCAGTAATAACCCTCAGTGGTAACAAACCACTGGGACTTGGATCATGAAGGTCACGTTAACGCTTTTCATTACTGTAACAAAGACCTGAGATAACCAGCTTATAAAGAGGAAAGGTATAACTTGGCCTAAAGCTTTAGAGATTTTAGTCAGATGATCAGATGCTTTGGGTCTACAGTGGTACATCATGGCAGGAGCATATGGCAGAGCAAAACTGCTCATCTAGTGACCAGGAAGTGAAAGAGAAAATGATAAAGGGACTATTGTCCCACTCTCCCCTTTGGCACACTGTCAGTAACCTAAAGACCTCCTACTAGGCTCCACCCCCTCCCAAGAGCACCAAGCTGGAGGGGCCTTCACCACAGGGAACACTTGGAGAACACTTTCAGACTCAAACTGTAGCAATGGTCATTGGTGTGCTCCTTCTTGTTGTCCCTTGAAAGGCATCAAGGAAGAAAGGGTGCCCTATAGAACTTATTTACAGGTTCCAGCAAGGAGGGCAGCCACTCAAAAACCCTTGGTCAGGAACTGACCGTTTTCTATGCACAAAGGTCCTCTTGCTCATTCGAGTGCTCAGCCTAGTAAAGTTCAGCATAGGATAGTCACTTATTAAGCATGTGTTCATAATAAAAACTAGACGCTGGTGTTCGATGGCTGGCTACAACATGCGCAGCCCATTCTCTTAGCCACTTCTTTCCAGTGAGGTTCAAGAAGCAGGTGAGAGGTGAACTGTGAAATGAACTTAGCATGGGAAAGGGCCATTGGAGAAGCAGAGGTATAGATGGGGACCCCACACCAGGGAGGATAAATGGAAATGATCAATAAGGTAAAGCTGCTTTAGTGACGCTCTATAGGAGAGAAAGTTGCTATGGAGAACATAAGGCAACTCTCAGAATCAGGACAGTTGCATCTCAGCCACAGCCGGGCTCTGAAGTGGAAGACAAAGTGATGTGATTGCTCCCAAGGCTGCATCATCCTCAACCCCTGTCCCTTCTTCAGATTTTTTTTTTCCCTCTCAAATGTCCAGACAGAACTTTTTTTCTTATCAGCCCTTTGTTCCAACATTTATAGGAGGTCCCACCACCCCTGAGCACATTCCATACAGGTGTTCCCACTGGAATTCTAAGGCTTTGTAGAATCAGCAATTTTTTTCAGTAGAATAAATAGATAATAACAGTAAAAAGTACATATTCTGTGACTAGAAAGCACAGCTCCTCTGGGGCAGTTGAGATCCTTCATAGCATATATATATGTTGTTAATCTCAGTGGAATCCTTGTAAAACAGGTGTAAAGTTTTAAAAAGACAAACTCTGGAAAGGAAACATTAAAAATTGAGTGGTATTTATATTCTTCACAACCGAAAAAGCTCAAAAGCCTGTGCCATGACCAACTGAGGATTTTCAGCACGACTAATGTCAAGGATTCTCAAGGAAACCCTTATAATATAGCACCTTGAATCCTCCCCCTCACTGTTCCTCTCTGGTGGTTGGGGAGACAGTCTGGGTGATGAAAAGTTCCCAGGGGTTGAAGTCAGATAAGCCTGGGCTCAGATCACAGCTCTGCCACCTATGAGCCATGAAATCATACCATGGGTACGTGACTTCTGTGAGCTTCAGCTTTCTTGTAAAATGAAGATCAAAATGTAAATGTGTTTTAAAGTACCCGGTATAATCCCTGGCACATGACAGGTGCTAAACAAATGCTAACTCCTTTTCCTCTTGTGCCTCCAAACATGTTACACACATGTATGTATATAATTCATATATGCACATATATACATAGTTGTATGTACACCTATGTGACAAGTTCTTTTTCTTTTGTGATGCTGGGAATGGAACCCAGGGCCTCACACATGCTAGGCAAGTGCTCTACCACCGAGCTACATCCCCTGACAAAATAATTTCATTTGTTCAATAATTA